TTTTTTTGGTGCCAGAGATTGAACTCGGGTCCTTGTGCTTGCAAGGCAGGTGGTGGAACCACTGAGCTAAATCTCCAGCCCCATGTATTATATATTGTATAAATGTATATATATAAATGTATGCATATGTGTGCATGTGTTACACATACACATATTTTTTGGTTTTTTTTTTGAAACAGAGTCTCATTATGTAGTTCAGGCTGGCCTCAAACTCATGACAATCCTGGACCAGACTCCTGAGTGCTGATATTACAGGTCTGCACCCTCACATCCAGCAGAAAGCATGTCTTTGAGATTAAAAAAAAGTGATAATGAATAAAAGGGTAAGGGATGTTTACTTTTCGAGACAGTCTTACTAAATTGGCTTCAAACTGGTAATTCTCCTGCCTGAGCCTCCTAATTAGGATCATAGGTGTGCATACCTGTATTTTCTCAAGAGAGTCAGAAGCAAAGTCATCTTTTGAAAGTGCGGATGGGAAGTAGAGACTATAAAATTCAGAACAGCAAAAGGGTTGTTAACACTAACCAGGTAAACGTAAACAAGCTAAATAGAAATGAATGGCCAAGTTTAGAAATCATACATCTACAGTGGAATTCAGGTGGCCTCAGAGATTAAAAGATAGTGGGTTTCATTTGACTTGGGAATTGGTGAAACAGACAGTATAAGAACAAACACGAAGGGAATTCAAAGTGCTGGTTCAGGCCCCTGAAGTTAACTGATCATGAAGTCCAAGGAGGAAAATTGCAGCCTGGGAGAATGAAACTGAGTGCAGAATCAATGTGTAGGGAAGCAGGATGGAAGAGCTGTTAAAAACTGAAAATAAAAAAACCCAGAGACCCCCAGTTATGGTCATGGCTTATTACTAACAAGGTATCTATCCTTACAAGGATGAGAGTTTTTTCAGGGCCCGTTCCACCCCCGCACTCCCATTAAAATATGTAAAATGCTAAGTAAAAACAGAGACTTCCTTTTAGTAAACACTCTGCAACTATTTTAACAATTATTCTTAAATGTTTTAAAATTATACAGCATTTAATACTTACATGTGCAGCATAAAAATACCAAGAAACACACCATCTAACTTATCAGACTACTAGTATCCTGTTTTTCCTAATCTCACTACTCTGGCCTCTTTCCCAGAGACAGTCTCTATCTCAAACTTTGCATTTAGCATTCTTGCCTTTAGAAAAGTCATGTATCATATTTGTGCAGAGCCTGTTTATTCATATGTAAAACTCTGGATTAGTGTTTTTTCAAACTTCAATTCCATAAATGGCAGGTGAACATCAAAGTTACATACTTACATCCATACTTATTTTTCAAGGGTTTCATAAAGCTAAAACACTGAGTCTTCTGTTGAAATTTCCAACTTAACAAAAGAATGTCTCAATAGAGCTTCTAATCTCAACATCAAGATTTACCTTCACTTTCAATTTGCACTTCTGCTATAAAGATTTGCTCTAGAGAAAAGTGACAGAAGTAGCTGTCCAATAAAAACTCAAACCCAAGTCTGAGAAAATAGACATGAAACAGATCAACTTGAAAAAGCATACTTAATTCAGTCACAAGTATTTTAATGAAGATTAAGAGGTATGGCTGGGCTCCTAAGCAGTTTTTCAAATAACCTGGATTTATTTCATATCATGTATGTGCATACATATGTACGTAAATTTCTTTTCCAAGTTTCCTTAATCTTACACTGTTTCATATGAAACACTATTTTTGTGGCACTGAAATTGAACCCAGGGTCTTCTCACTGAGTTACATCCCCAGACCTTTTCAATTTTTTGTCAGACTCTTGGTAAATTTGCCAGGTTGGCTTCAAACTTGTGATTCCACTGCCTCAGCTTTCTGAATAGCTGGGACTACAGACATGTGCCATCACAGCTTTTGTAAAACTATCTTTCTGACATTGGGGTAATTTGAGATAAAGTCTTGTTATGTAGTTCAGACTGGCCTTGAACTAACTAGGTAGCTCAGGCTCGGCTCGAACCTGTAGTGATCCTTTTGCCTCAGATTCCCAAGTTGTGAGATTATAGGTGTGTGCCATGATGCCCAGGAAATCTGTAAAATAGGGTGTGAATACATGTGAACCTTAACAGTGTCAGGAAAACCATGATCAAGAAAGTTAAGGGGCTGGGGATTTAGCTCAGTGGTGCCGCCACCTGCCTCACACGCTCAAGGACCCGAGTTCAATCCCCAGTACCAGTACCAAAAAAAAAAAAAAAAAAAAAAAAAAAAAAAAAAAAAAAAAAATTTTT